GCAGGCAGACTCCCCCCCCCCCCGCCACTCCGCATTCACAGCCACTCTCCCTTCCCTTCGCCTCTCCGGCCGCCAGTCCATCGAAGCCACACACAGCCGGCCGACCGTCCTCCCGCCCAGTCTGGTAGCCGGTGGGACAGTGGCCGGTGCGCACATACACATACACACACAGCCCGCGACTACGGCCAACCGGCGCCGGCTCTCTTCGGGCGGTTGGTCGGTTTCGGTTTACCTCAAAGCCACGAGAGGAGAGCGCGCGCTGCACCGGCAAGGACCCCTCCGTCCTCCTCGCGCCGCATCCTTCTCCTGCGGCTGATGCTGGCGCCGCTGAAGGCAAAACGCAGGGGCGACCGCGATGGAAACAGAGTCCCCGCCTCGCACCAGGCGAGCGACCAACCCCCACCCAGGGACGGGCCGAAGACCTGACTGGAGGAACCCGCCGCCGTCAACGGCGCCTCCCGGCCCTGCCCTCCCCCTCGCGGCCGGGCGGAAGAGCGAGGCGCATGCGCGTTGTGCGAAATGGCCCGGGAAGTGTAGCCAGACTCTGGCGGCCGCGGCTCGCTTTTAGCAGGGTAACCGACTAACGTTGACTTCTCTTAAAACAACTTTGGCATCTTGTGTTATTGCTAGGAAATGAAATCTGGAGACACAGCGTCTCTCTCTCCCTTCTGTCTGGGTGGTGTGTATTTAGACAGCATACATAGCTACGTAGCGCTATGTAGGTCTGACGACGGGAGTATTTTCGGAAATGGGGAATTAGCTCAAATGGTAGAGCGCTCGCTTAGCATGCGAGAGGTAGCGGGATCGATGCCCGCATTCTCCAGGTTTTTGTTTGTTTGTTTTGCTTTTTCCTATCGAATTTACCCGCAGTTTTTCGAGAAAGAGTATACGGATTCTTCGTTACAGGAAGAAGATGGAAGACGTTTATCACAAACTGGAAAAACAGACAGATTGTATTGCTATCAGTATAATTCCTCCAGTTTCAAAAAATGAAAGTGGACTTGTTCCCCAAAGCTGACATTAAATACCTGTAATGTATACCGTTTCTCCGAAAATAAGACCTAACCTGAAAATAAGCCCTAGTATGATTTTTCAGGATCCTCATAATATAAGCCCTACCCCAAAAATAAGCCCCAGTTAAGTGAAACCCTGCTCTCCACCCTTGCACAGCAACCAGACGAAGATTACATGGCTGTATTTGAATAAATGTAGATTGTTGTACATGGGGAAAAAACCTTAAAATAAGCCCTAATGCGTTTTTTAAAGCAAAAATTAATATAAGACCCTCTCTTATTTTCGGGGAAACACGGTAGTGGTTGATTTTTAAGATGCCACAACGTTTTTGTCTTAATATATATATATAAATTTTATTGCATATGTATATGTGTGTGTGTATTATGTATGTAAGTTTATATGTATATGTGTATATACATATATAAATATATGCAATAAATTATGTTTTTTGTTTGTTCCTTTCCTTTTTAATATTTCTATACTTAGTGTTTTTAGCTTTGAATATTGCCTTTTAATGATGTACATCTCCTTTGTATACTCATTGTTTTGTTCTTAAATACACCACCTTTCTATTTATGTATCTATCCCTCTACTGTAAGGAACTCGGCATAAAGGCAACTTTTAATTTTCTGGCAAAAACAAAAGAAAAATAAAATATACAAAGAACTTCTAAAATATACAAGGAAGACCATTTGCTTCTGTTCATACAATTAAGTCTAAAGGTTTCTACTTTTCATTTTGGTAAACATGCATATCCCATAGAAAGTTCATAAATGCCAAAAGTGTCTGTGTACTTTTAAAATTTTTGCTGTTCACTTTTACTAACTATATTCTATTGGATTGTTAGAAAAGTTTGAATTAAAATGAACAGGATTAGGTAAAAGGAGGGAGAACAATAAATGAAAAGGCCATGAGGTTGAAGTGTGCATTCTTCCAGTGAGTGCCACATGTAGGGAACATAAAGGGAGGGCTACACTTGTAGTGCACCCATTTGATTGCCCATAAAAGCAGTACTATATTGAGTTAATTTTCAGATATAAATAATATATTAAAATCCATATTAGGGTAACGCCTCTGTTAGGCCAACCAGAAGGATGCAAAACGTGGGCCACCTTTTTCAGTTTCCAGAGCAAGCAAAATGAAGGCAAAAGAAAGAAAACTGAATTGGTGATGAAAATATCTTCAGGAGACACAAAGGCCTGCAGGAACACCTGGAGAAACCACTAAGCATATGGAGAGGGGGAAAAGATTTTGGTAAATAAAAAATCCATCTGGAAATTCAGAACTGTTCCATCTGGGAGAAAGCCAGTGTGCTTCTCTCCTCCGTTGCCATCTTAAATACAATAATCACATGCCATCATGTCAGTTTTGACTTACAGTGATGCTTCTCTGGGTTTTCTAGATACTGAGTATTCAGAAGTAGCTTACCATTCCCATCTTCTCACAACACTTCTGGGAGCACTTGCCCAAGGTTGGTTCTTAGAAGGCAGAAGGGCCTGTTGTTACATCAAGACTGGCAGGAAGAATGTGGTGAAGAATTTGCTCAACATTGCGCTGGCAAAATTACATGTATCCACTCTGAAAATGTTGTCATTGTGGATGGAACCATGGCACTTGCTTGTCCTATGTTAATAGATAGATTGCAGTCTGGTGATATGGACAGGACCCTCGGAGAGGTGAAAGCTGCATGTCTGTTGAATGCTAGCCCTTTCAAGGCTTATAAAAGCTGCCAGAAAAGGACCGCTTGAGTGGGTAGGAGGAGTGGTGAATGCCTCCTTGCAATGGGGTAGGAACCCAGCATGCTTAAAGGAGGCAAGGGTAATAGCATTACTGGAAAAAAAAATTCCTTGGTTCCCATGATACTGGATAATAGGAATGCAACCAGTACTGGATGGGGTTACACATCCTCTGAAAAACACAGGTATGCCACTTGGGGGTGCTCCTGGATTAATCTCTGAGCCTGGATGCCCAGCAGTGGCCAGGAATGCATTTGCCCAATTAAAACTAGTGCACCAGCTGCAACCATTTCTTGGGAGATCTGATCTGGCCATGGTGGCACATACCTTAATTACATCCTGGCTGGATTACTGTAATGTGCACTATATGAGGCTACCTGTTGAAAGCATTAGGAAACTTCAGTGGGCCCAAAATGCAGCAGCCCGACTGCTCACTGGGGCAGGTTACAGAGATCACATCCCTGTTTCAAACAGTTCCACCGGCTACAGATCCATTTCCAGGCACAATTCAAAGTGCTGGTTTTAACCTATAAAGCCCTACAATGACTTTGGCCCAAGCAGCCTCAAAGACCGTGCCTCCCATTATGAACCTGCTCAGGCACTAAGACCATCAGAGGATGCCGTTCTCTTGGTCCCAATCCCTTCACAGGTGCATTTGATGGGGACACAAGAGAGGGCCTTCACTGTCGCTGCTCCAAGACTTTTGATGACTGGCTCCCCGAGCATGATCTTTTTAGATGGATTGCTATGCATCACTGCTTTGAGTGTGGTTTTAGTATTGCTTGTGTTTCCCATTTCTAAGAGGGATGTTTTGTTTGTTCCTTTTTAATATTTCTAAACATAGTGCTTTTAGCTTTGAATATTGACTTTTAATGATGTACATCACCTTTGTATACTCATTTTGTTCTTATCTTTAAATGTTGTAAGCCACCTTGAGTCCTTTACTAAGGACAAAAGCAGGGTGGGTAAATAAATAAATGAATAAATAAACAAATGATTATCAGCCAGTCTCTAATTCATTTTGTTCTTATCTTTAAATGTTGTAATCCACCTTGAGTCCTTTTCTAAGGACAAAAGCAGGGTGGGTGGGTAAATAAATGAGTGAATGAATAAACAAAGGATTATCAGCCAGTCTCTAACGTTCTATGCTTGTGCAAGGTGCTGGAGCAGGTCATGGCTACTGGGCCTCCGGGGTTCCTAGATGAGATGAATTATCTAGATCCATTTCATTCTGACTTCAGACTTGGTTATGGGATGAGGACTACCTTGGTGGATTACCCATGTCAGGAATTGGACTGTGAGCATGTATCCCTGTTGGTTCTGATGGACTTCTCAGTGATTTTTTTATACCATTGACCATGGTATCCTCCTGGGCTGTCTCACTTGGGATAGGGCTTGGAGGCGCTGTCTTACAGTGGCTGTGGTCCTTCATGGAGAGGAAAACTCAACAAGTGGTGCCGGGGAACTCCTGTTCAACACTCTGGGGGTTGTCCTGCGGTGTCCCTCAGAGCTACATAAAACTATTGGGAAAGATTGTCCGGGGTTTTGGGATATGGTGTTATCTGTATCTCAGTGACACCCAGTTCTAGCTCTCCTTTTCATCCAAGGAAGCTGTTTCAGTTCTAGATCAGTGCATGGTGTCAGTTATGAACTGGACGAGAGTGAATAAACTTAAATTTAAATTTAAAAAAAAGACAGAGGTGCTCCTGGTCATTTTAAAGGCTGTGCAAAGTACAAAGATGGTTTTGGGATATGGTGTTATCTGTATCTCAGTGACACCCAGTTCTAGCTCTCCTTTTCATCCAAGGAAGCTGTTTCAGTTCTAGATCAGTGCATGGTGTCAGTTATGAACTGGACGAGAGTGAATAAACTTAAATTTAAATTTAAAAAAAAGACAGAGGTGCTCCTGGTCATTTTAAAGGCTGTGCAAAGTACAAAGATGCAGCCTGTGGACAGAGGTGCTCCTGGTCAATTGAAAGGCTGTGCAAAGTACAAAGATGCAGCCTGTGCTGGATGGAGTTACACGCCCTCTGAGAATATAGATGCACAGCTTTGGGGTGCTCCTGGATTTCAATATCAATTAATTTATTATCATTGTAAGTATATACATGGTATACCCATACAACGAAATTCACACAGGCACCCAGAGACCAGACCCACATGCACACACATAAAAACAGCCTGGATGCACAGTTTTTGGTGGTGGCAAGAAGTGCATTTGTACAATTAAAACTACAGTAGTATGCCAGCTGCACCTATTCCTGGAGACATCTGATCTGGCTATGATGACACATGGCTTAGTTATGTCCTGGCTGGATTATGGTAACATGCTGTATGTGGGGCTGCCTATGGAAAGTATCAGGAAACTTCCCCTGCAGCCAGATTGTTAAGTGGGGATAGTTACAGGGGCTGGTCACAGATATCACATAACCCCCAGGTTACAGCAGCTGCACTGGCTACTGATCTCGTTACAATTCAAAGTGCTGGTTTTAACCTAGAAAGCCCTAAACAGCTTGGGTCTAACCTATCTTAAGGACCTTGTCTCCTTATGATCCTGCTCAGGTGTTAAGATCATCAAGGGAGGCCTTGCTCTCAGTATCACGACCTTCGCAGGTGTTTTTGGTGGATCAGGTGTTAAGATCATCAGGGAAGGCCTTGCTCTCAGTATCACCACCTCGGCAGG